CAATTTTTTTTTTTTATTTTAAGGAAAGAATTTTTGGCCCCTTCCCAATTGGAAAATTAACCCAAAAAAAAAAATTTATAATTTTTTTTTTTTTTTTTTTTTTTTTTTTTTTTTTTTTTTTTTTTTTTTTTTTGAATTTATAATAATAATTCATTTTTTTTGTTGAATCAAATATTACTATTACTTTGTTATTTAAGTTACTTATTTTAAAAATAAAATTTCAATCATTAAAAACAACTATTAAAAAAAATGGAGGATGGAAGATATGAATATATAAAATATGCCACTATCAATGGTAAATATAGTTTATTTTTATAAAATAAAATTTTATTTAAAATACTAATTTTTTTTATTTTTAAATTGTATAGATTACATTAACTACACCACTGAACAATTGGAGTATCAATCACAAATCACTTGGAACTACATGACTTTTAGAAATGAAGATTTAAGATCAAGAGATTACTTAAAGAAATCAAATGACTCTACACCAATAGTTTATAAAAATTAATTTGCCCATGAAACCATTAAATAAATAAAACTTTATTTTAATATTTTTCAAAATTCTTATTTAAATTTTAATAAATATTTTTGGTGTTAAAATTGTTTTTATATTTTTTATTTATCTATAATGTTTTTTACATTATTATGCCATTTACTTTATAGTTATTTCACCTATTAGAGTTTATTATTATTTTTTTAAAATTTAAACATTGTTTTTATTTAAATTTAAATATTGTTTTTTTTTTTAAATTGAACATTGTTTTTTTTTTTTTAATTTAAACATTGTTTTTTTTTTAATTTAAACATTGTTTATTTTAAATTAAAACGTTACTCAAAGTTTAAACATTGTTTTTTTTTACCATTATATTTTTATTTTTTTAAACATTGTTTTTTTTAAATTAAATTGATTTATTTTATATTTTTTTTAAATTAAAACTATTCTATTAATATTATTATTATTATTATAAATTTAAATTGAGATCTTGAAAAATACATAAACCCTAAAGTCATTACTATTTGGTTATATAACTGATTTAAAATCTTGTGGTGTTAAAATTATTTTGAATAGATATTGACTGATATTTCTATTAAACCAGGTGAGTGTGTAATTTTGTTTTGAGAGCAAATCAAAAAAAATTTGATGTTTCCAAAGGTCAATGCGTGGATGAAAAAAATTTTTGATGTTTTTTCCTTGTGTTTTCTATTATAAACTATCGAGATGTCTTTTTAATACATTTTTTGATAGTCAGCAAGGGAATCATGAGTATGCTTGGGGTTCTTTGTGAAATTACATTGAATAAATATAGTCGATAGTTATTATATTGATCAAAATAGGTACTTGTATTGGTTTTTTATTTTGTTTTATTTCTCTGAAGTTGATTTAAAAGTTGAGTGAGGTTAAAGAAACATTCCAACATTTGAATTATGGTTAAATCTCATTGGCCAAGAGATTTTATAGAATTGATTTAAAGCAGGAAAATTTAAATGGTATAAATTATCCTGTAAGGGCTTTTTATACAGAGGCCGAAAAGAAAGTATGGTGATGGATAAAAAGTTTTCTAAATAATCTTTGATTTTCTTATTTTCATTGAATAGACGGCAAATCTTGTTAGTAATGGATTCTGTAAGCCTATTGGAAATTCCCTTTTTCTGTAATTACCACAATCCATATATCCTTTTAAATTTTCCTTAAAAGGATAAAATTATGATTATTTAGTATCTTGTCTTTGATAATGGAGGGCCTTTACTATTTTTCTGGGATGTGGAAGATCCTCCAAAATTCGATAAAACCAGATTTGAAAAATGAGAATATTAATTTATTTCGATAGATGGACAATTGTTCAATATTAATTTTTTATTTTTTTTTTCGATGAGTTTTACTGGTTGCTCTTATAGGGGAGGTGGATTTATATTTTTGAAGGGAACAATGGTTTTTTTTTCTATTAGAACATTTAATTGTGATTGTTGTGGTGGTGATTGTTATTTTTGTTGTTGTTGTGATATATCATAACAATGTAATAGTTTGATTTATTTTCATTTGTATTAAAACAATACAATATATTTTATAATGTATTATTAAAATTTATTATACATTTTTAATATTGTTTTTTATTACTTATTATATATTATTTTTTAAATCTATTCATTTCAAAGAAAAAAAATAAAATTTTTGTTGTTATTATGTTTATTTTTGTGCGAACAAAAAAAAATTAAATTTAAAAAAAAAAAAAAAAAAAAAATTTTTTTTTAAATTTAATGTTTAATTTACAAAAAAATTTTCTCTTTTGTTTGAATATTTGATGTGTGTTATTTGGGAGTGTTGTAATTATTAAAAATACAATATTTAAAAAAAAAACAAATAAAACAAAAAAAAAAAACCAATAATATTTTTATAAAAAAAATTTCCACATTAATAAAGCATAAAAAAAACAATATAAAATCACAAGAAACAGAATTCTTATAAAAAAAAAATAAAAAATAAAAGTTTTTTTTAGATACCCAAAAAAAAAATAAAAAAAAAAAACAATAAAAAAAAAAAAAATTAATTAAAAAAAATATTATTTTTTAGTGTGAAATAAACAATTATTTTTTTTAAAATTTTTTTAATTCAATATTAAATTTTTCATCCATACAGTATATGTTAAATATACTTTTTTTAAAATTATAAACTAGTAATAACCAATAATTTGGAATATTGCATCCCTCAAATGGATGCTTCAACTCAAAATGAATCTTCTTTAAATAACCAAGAGAGTTTAAATAATCTCCATACCATTTTCCTCCTAGATTTCCTTGAAAGTAAAGCTAGACAAAACATCCAAACGAACCATATCAATGATGGCTCAAATCCACAATTAGTCGAAGTTACCGACCCAAAGCTCCAGTCCACAGAGACAAGAAGCCAACAAGAGTTAATCCAACTCTAAAAATAAACTAACAAATAAATATTTATAATAGCAATAGATATAAATAATAAACTATTTAGTTTACAATTATAAATAAATATTTATTTTTATTAAATAAAATTAAAATTATTCATAAATATTTTTTTTTAATTTTTTTTTTATTTATATGTTATAAATTATTTCGATGTAAAATGTTCCAATTCTTCAGTAAAGAAATGTTTTAACAAAATTGGTAAATTGTAATAACTGCTACTTGATGTTCTAGTGATGTGCCTTGTAATTATTCTAATCAATTCATCATTACCATTTGATAGTTGTTGGCCTCTTTGTAAAATATCTAATTTAAAACCTTTATTTAAAACATTACAAAACTCGTTTAACATTTCAAAATCTTTATAATAAAATGAAAATAAAAATAAAATGAATATAATTGTGCTAATGATAATAAAAATATTATAACTTACTAACTATATAATCGAAAAATCTTGGAAAGAAATACCCAATTTGTAAATCTTTTATAACTAAATTTGAAAGTGGTATTTCGTTTGGCAAAGTTGAAGGGGTGCCTTTAATTTCGTTAATCATTTGAATAAATCTTGGTTTATAATATTCCCAATATGATTGATAGAGGACTGTCATTTCACCAACCATACCTAATCTTTCATAGCAAGTTACCAATCCATCTATACACCAAAATAAAACCTCATCCTCTGTATAATCTGTAAAATAAGGTTTAATCGTCATGACTGAATGAGCCGAGGCTACAAATTCATCTGGCAACGAAATTGAATTTAATATTTCTAATAAACCAACAACTGAATCTTCAATCTCTGTGTGATTTGTAACTGAAATATTTAATGCTAATCTTTTTATCCATAATTCATCTTTAGGATCGAAATATTTCTTAAACCCATCACCTAGAGGTATTAATGTCTTTGAATAGTAATATTGTAATAAAATTTGAGTATCTCTATAATATTTTAATGCTGTTGAATATGATTCCTAAAATAAAAAATAAATTAGTATAAACTAGTAATAATAATAATAACAATAATAATATTTGGTATGATAGACTTACATAATAATAATTTGAATCTGCCAAACTATTATATAACCAATAAAACTGTGGACTATTCCAAATTGTTGATAAAATTAATTTAAAATCTTCGATCCAAGGGTCTTGATTAAGATCACTAAAGCATTCCATACATAGCGCTAAATGTCTGATGGCTTCTTGTTGTGGATATGAAAAGTTTATATCTGAAAACTGATCATCAAAAGAACTTTCATCATCGATATTTGAATAGATTAATAGTTGATGAACAATCATTGAAAGCTTTGTCTTTATATTGCTGCGTGAGGTGATTTTAAAACTTTTACGAAGACCTTCATATGTATCATTGTTTGCACTTGAACGGCTAACACCAATATCCTCTAAAGTACTATCTATAATCATTTCATAGTCTGTGATACTATGAGTTGTGGTATATTGTTTCTCGATTCTTGATGATCCAATTGTTAAAAATTTGAAATACCTCCAGCAGCTAACATAGAATATAGATGAGAGTAAGTAAATGCCCAAATGGATTTCAAATTCATAAGAGTCATTTGATTCTTGGCTTTCATCCTCTTCAGTGGCATCCATATTACGATCGAAATAGTCATTTCTAGCTTTCTCTGGATTCTCTAGTAGATCAACTTTGAAATTGATAATGGCTTCGCTAGGATGCTTCTTTAACAGTATTCCTGAATCTGAAAACTCTTGAAGAAAATTTTGAATCTCCATAATATCGACATTGGTAATATCTTCCCTTTTGCAAATATAATATTTCCAACATAGATTTATAATTTCGAATTTATCAAATTGTCCAAACTCTTCCTTTTTAATATAAAATATAATTGGTAAGCAAAATTCATTTATAACTTTTAAAAATAATTGATTATTTAAATTATCATTATTTTCTTTTTTAACTTTTTCTATATTATCTTCATCGTCATTATTATTATTATTATTATTATTATTATTATTATTATTATTATTATTATTATTATTATTATTATTATTATTATTAGTTTCATTTTCTTCTATTTCTTTAAATTCCTCTTCTCTTACTTCCTTTTCATTAGTTTCTTCTGCTGGATCTGTTTTTTCTGCTGCATCTATTTCTTTAAATTCCTCTTCTCTTACTTCCTTTTCATTAGTTTCTTCTGCTGTATCTGTTTTTTCTGCTGCATCTATTTCTTTAAATTGATTCCAATATAGTTGTAAATTATTTAAACCTGTAAACTAAAGTTTTAATAATAAATATATTAATTTGCTAATTAGTAATGATAATAGATAAAGGATGTGTAAGTGATAGGATTTATAATAACTCTTACCCAAAAACCTTTAATTTTTTCAGAAACTTCCAGGTCACTACTATTAATTTTAGATTCGTTGCCTTCAGTTTGCATTTTTTCCTCACCTTCTTGAAATTCTTTATCCAAATTCTCTTTATTGCTTGATACGGGCGATGTCGATGATGATGGTGGTGATGTTAAATTATTTTTTAAAGTTTTACAAATTTTATTATTTAATTTATTTTTAAAAAATAAATAAAAAATTACGCTATATTGATAGTAATGATGTTCATTTAAAAACTTGCCAACAAACTCTATCATTTTTAATAGTGTTAATAAAGAATCGTTGTCGTTTTCATGCTGATCAATTAAATATCTAATTGGGTCGAAAAAGTGATTTAAATTTCGAGATTCTGAAATATAGTCTGACATGTGATTTAGTTTTGAATATAGGTTTTTTAATATTTCATCTAGTAGATGGTTGAATTTATAGTTTATATTTACTTGGCACTCTTGATTTTGTTGTTGTTCTTTAGCTCTCTGATTTAAAAATATTTCTGAAAATTCATTTTCATAATGTTCCTTTAAAAATTTAAAATACTCCCATTTGTTCCATTTCATTTTGTAAATATTTTAAAAATAAATAATAACATGAATTCTTTATAAAATTCATTTTCAAATCTAAATTTTTAAATAAAGATATTAGTATTTTATTATTATTATTATTACTATTATTATTATTGTTTGTAAAATACTATAGATATATTTTATATTTACAATTTTAAAAATAATTGCATTGATTGCGCGCCACTTTCTCTTTCTTTAATTGAAATAATGTATCTTTTAATCTTTATAATATAGTTTAAAAATTAGATATTTAATTTTAGATATTATTAAAATTATAGTTTTAAATACTCCTATACATACTGGTAAACAATTATCTGATCCAAATGCAGACAACCCTACTAAACACGATACTTGGGCATCCCATGTATTTTTGGTTTTATTATCAATATAATACAAAATATCTTCTGATGTTGCTAAACTTTTCATTATTAATATAAATATATACAAAACAAAATGAATAAATAAAAAAAAAATTGAAAATATTTCTATTTAATTTGAATATACATAAATATCTTTTTTTAATTTACAAAATAATAATAA